CTGTTTTTCCTTTTTTGCTGTTGTTGATGAAGACTCGAGGATGATTTTTCACTCAACAATTCTAAGGAAAATGTTTTTAAGCACTCCCACTAGATCTACATATCGCGGGAGCGGCGTTTTATTGTCGTAAAATAGCCACTGATAATATTATGTTATGTTCCTTTCAATAGTTTAGTTTGGATGTCCATGTTATTAGACTCTCTCTCTCTCTCTCTCTCTCTCCCTCTCTCTCTCTCTCTCTCTCTCTCTCTCTCTCTCCAAAATTAAATCTTTGCTTTCCAATAACTGCCGGCAACCGTAACCGTAGGCTATGGCCATTTCAGACTGAGTCGTTAAATCCAGGATTGTTGTCTTCAGACTTCTCGATCTGAACTTTTAAATTATCTCGTTACAGCCAAGGTTAGCATTTTCCTATCTTGTTGGATCTGAGGTGTTTAAACAAATACACAAAGTACAAAAAAAAGCTGGGGAAATCTGTATTTCTCTGATTGAAGCAGGAGTCTCATTGCATCCAAGGTCCACTGTATTGATACGTTTAAATTTTTCATGATTATTGGCTCCTCCATGTTGTTAGCAAGGCGACATCCAAAGTGGGCGTGTGGGCTCTATGGTGTTCCTGTAGATTTCTCTTGTCAGGAAAATAAAGCCAAGTACATGTTCAGGTTCAATGGGCAGCAGTTGGCGTCTGTTTTGTACTTTTTACCGAGGGCCCGTCTATCAAACACATTAGATCATTATTTTCAGCATGCTCCACTGTCATTAATAATGAGTATGGTATTAGCCAGTATACACGACAGTTCAATATTCATCAAATCTGCATTTTACGCTCAGGTTTTCCTTCATGCAGGGGCTAAAATTACCGTATAATTTGCACAATTTGATCAAATCCTTAAAAATCAAACACATTTGATTTTCTTGGACAACATTTGATTATGTTATAAAAAACAAAACAACAGATGCATTGCGGAGTGAAATCTTTTGTTTGCAAACATGGAAGATCAGTTTGATTGTAATGTACATTGGCACCACCATTAGTTGCCCAGAACCAGATTGTGCAGATTGGGTTCATTTGTTCAGTGTGTATCTATTCTAATCTAAACGCATCAATGTCCTATTGATGTACTCACCTATAGGATGATAGTACTGATAGTGATAGATTTTAAACTTGATCATCTTGTAACATAATTTCTCTGACCTTTAGTTTTAAAGTGTGCTATAAAAATACCATCGATTACTATCAGAATACTGATTATGCAGACCTGCCACTCATCCCGATTTAATCGGGATATCCCAATTTTTTGCCTCAAGTCTCAGTCATCCTGATTTTCTCGATTCCGATGGCATGTATCCTGCTTTTTTTGTGCCGTCGGTTGCGCCGGAGTTTGCTAAAAAAACTTACTCTGCTTTCTTCTCTGTCGCAAGAAGCACCCGTTAGACTTTTTGTCAGAACTCTGAGCACTATTTTCCCAAATATCGATGCCAGATTTAGTAGTTGACTTGCCCAAAGTTGTGTTGGATCTTTGCTCGCACATGTTATTTCAACTATAACTAACTATAATGGAAGTAGTATCGATCTGGCTTTCTGACTTGGGACATTCTGAAGATTTACTTTCGCTTTTGTTTCCACTCAGAATTCTCCGATGATGGTTTAATAATTGTTTCAATTTCGGCATGCATATGATCAATATTATCCATATAATTCTGCTGTTACTTTCAAAACAAGCTTTATTCAAGTTCTGTCTAGTCGTGTCCGTCTTCAAGACTCATCAGTAAAACTGTTTCAGGGTGTGTTTGTCGTGTGTCAGGGACCGTCCATTGAGAGGGCAACTTAAGTTTGTGCACACTAGCTAATGCGCCTTTCGAGACTTATAGTGGAAGGGGGCGACATTTGGACTAGGAGTACTAGACGTGATATGTCAGGATTTTTTTAAATAACACACACACACGCAGACACACCCACACACCAAGGGCATATTATACAGGTATACACGTGGATCTATTTATGGAAACCCATGGAAAATTTTTCAGTCAGCTTGGCTGTCTCCTTGGTGATTTGTCATTGGTCCCGATAATTTTTCACCAAATCCCGATATTTTTCCCACTGAGATCCTGGGGGGGGGGGGGGGGGGGGGGGGGGGTCAATAGTGGCAGGTCTGGATTATGTGTTTCTAGCTTAAAGATTATTATTGTTAATGATTATATTTGTTCAAATATCATATAATGCGTGTTAGCGAGTGCAAGCATTGTGTGTATGGATGTGCATACTTGCATGTTGCGTGTGTGTGTTTGTGTGTGTGTGTGTGGTGAAACACCAGATCAGTGAGTCAGCATCTAAACAATGAAGACATATCTTATAAATCTATAAAGATGGTGTTTTTTTCAATATTCCTGAGAAATTCCGCAATCCTGATATTACTAAAACTGTTAAAAGTGGGACGCACTGTATGTTATTTCAGTGTGTTTATCTTTTTTGTATATTTATATATACACATAAAAGATTAAATGGCTATAAAATTTTCCATTTTATATTGTTTGATTCTGTAACAGGTAAACACCAGCCAAACACACAACAAACTGTAATACATGGTTTCAAAGAGTTAAGAACAATTAATTTTCTTAGTCTAGTGACGAGGTCAAAAGTGATCAACATTAATGATAAGTATGTGATTTTTTTATGATTTTTATATCACTTTGTGAATATGGTAGCTTACAAAAGAAGGTCCTATCGGAAATTACAATCGCAGATACACCATCGTTAATCAGCTCAACCTCGATTCTCAGGTTCAAGTTTCTTACAGACATTTTGACATAATATTTTAAACGAGGATTGCATGTAATTCTAAACCAAATTGTCAGTGTCAGTATTTGTTTGGTGAACCTGGAAGATCATTCTTTTTTGTTACTAGGTTACTTGTGCAATTTATTTGGTCCTCCACTTCTCTTCTAGTCCAAGTGGCCTTTTAACTTTATGCTCCATCTGGTTTTTTATTCAGCCAGACCCATGTCTTATTCAAGTGGGTGCTATTCAGGTTGTAATTGACTAATTTTGAAGGAATAAAAAGTAAAATGTTCAGAAAATCTTCCTTTTTCAATTTCAGTTGCGAACCTCAAAGTGTCTGTAACCTTTAGCTCCTCCGTTACACATTGTACGATTTTTTTAGTGTGCTTAAAACTTTTCCTGTGCTGGATCATGTTAAGTTGAATACTTTAACTTTAACTCGGTTGAATTAGTGCTTTGCCTTTTCTTGAAGTCTAATGATAATGTATTTTATGTCTCCCCAGCGTGATGGAAAATCTCCCGGATGAAGTGCTGTTGTGCATTTTCTCCAAACTTCCGCAGCCGTCATTGATCATCAGTGTCCGTCGCACGTGCTGGAGATGGTATCGCCTGTCCCATGATGCATCGTTGTGGTTAGACTTAGATCTGTCGGTGTTCAAGTGTGGATATAATCCCCATAAAACTTCAGAAGGTGTAAAATGTTTACTAGAAACAATCCAGCAAAGTCTGACAAGGCTCATGTTTGGCGACCTTGCCTTAGAAGAAGATGTTTTTGAACTTTTTGGCTCAGCCATCAGACATAAAAACAAAGTCAGTTTCCCCAACTTGAAAAGCTTAGACTATTCCTACAGTTCCGTTAACTCTCGAAGTCTGTCTGTAGGACTCACAGCCAACTCCGACATTGAAGAGCTCATTCTGTCATTTACTGACATTCCTTTTTGTCAGGCAATGAAAGAAGCTATCCACCTTCCTAACCTGAAGAAATTAATATTTCACGACTTTCGGTCTGTTGAGTGGGAGTTTGCTCTCTCCCGCCACGTTGATCGTGCTCCACTCAAAGCGGCTTTGATGATGGTCCCGAAACACTGCCCTCTACTGGAGGTGGTGGAAATAGACACAGTGTGGTGTCACTTAGACAACGATGTGGTACAGGAGTTCACCAAGCATTGTCTAAATCTCAAGAGGGCTGGTTTCACTTGGTCTTCTCAGATAACGGAAAATGCATTTCAGTATTTGAAAACAGATTCCCATCAAATCACTGAGCTGGTTTTGTCAGACAGACAAGCTAGAGGGCCATATCTAAGTTTTGTGCTCCCTTATTTCCCATTATTGCTAGAGTTAACTGTCAGTGGCCACAATGTTAGTATGGAAGACTGTAAAGCAATAGGAGACTGTTGCCCTCTTCTAAAAGAACTTACCTTTGAGAGGAGTAGTGTTCACAATGAAGGACAGATATTTGATATGCTGGAGAGGGACAATTCTCTTTGTGGTTCAGAGCTGAATTTAATAACAGATAAGTGCCATGACCTCCGAAAGCTTCATGCTCCATGCTCCAACATTGACGATATAAGTGTAATGCATTTGTCCAAGCAATGTCCATATCTAGAAGATGTCAACTTCACACAGTGCCGACGTCTGACCAGCAAGTCTGTAAGGTCCTTGTCCAATTATTCATTATGTTTGAAAAAAGTAAATTTTATTGAGGTAGATGTAGAGTGTAATGAACTTCTGGGATTGTTCAAAAAATGCTCCAAACTGGAAGAAGCGGTCTTTGATTTCAATCTGCGGACTCTCTCTAAATCTAAATCTCGAACTCCATCTCCCTCCTCTTCGGATGAGCTATCCATTGATCTCACAGCTTTGGAGGACCAGGCTGCAGATCTTTTTCCGGATGAGACAGTGAGCTGTGAGGAAGATATTCCTTTAATGGATGTGATGCAATGCTCTGAAGATGTGGATTACTTTGATTTACTCGACGGTCTAAAGACGCAGCAAAGACCCAAATTAAGTGATGCCACTACTGGCACCCTGTTTGACTACAGCATTGTGTCTTCGCTCCCTTGCCCCATTCCTGTCAAAGCTTTCCACTGCCACCTCCGCAAACTGTCTCTTAAGAACTGCACATGTTCCAGCAAGAGCCTACAAGCTCTGTTTAGAGAGTGCCCAGATTTAACGCTGGTAGCACTGGATGACAGCACGGGCCTGGATGATGAGACTGTCATCACTCTCGTCAGATTTTGTCCCAGTCTCAGAACACTCAGCCTATCGAGTACACCCAAAGCTTCGCATCCTGTGTTTGGAGATTTGGCATTGCTGGAGATGGCCAAGTATAGCACTCAGCTGGAGGTGGTCAATCTTCTGTACAACAAAAGCATCACAACAGTAGGTCTGACCGCTCTGTTCCTGTCACTGGACACAACACTACGCTCTCTGCACTCACTCTCCCTTTGTGTTGGTCGGGGCTATCACTGCTCTGTACAGACAGTCGTGGCCCACGGGCTCAAGCATTTAACAGAGCGCTCAAAACAAAATTTTAAAAGTGCTGCCGAGGGCAGGGGCCGGAGATCTTTTCTGCTTTTGCATTTGGAATTTCTCAGGCAAAGATGATTTTTCAAGTTCTGGAATTTTCTTTTGTTGTTGAACTGTAATTGTGTTCAATTTATGAATTGAAAATTGTTTTTGTGAGTTCTTTGTGATATCTTAAGTACAGGATGTGACGTACAGAAAAACCTCAGTATACCGTACTCTCGGCTATAACTTTCTTAAGATCCAAGTCCCATTTAGAGTATTTTTTACTCTTTAAAAGCTAAGTCTAAATCATACCTGGTAAAACATACTTTTCGCTGTAACATATGTTGATGTGGTGCAAGGAGGTCAGTTTTTTTATTGCTCAGCAGCATCATCACCGTCATAATTTCCACCCCCACCTTGTTCATATTCCTTCTGCATTGTATGAAGTCTATATCACTTGGATTTGAAATAAAGAAAAACGTCAAAACAAAATAACAGAAACCAACGGTAAAACCCTCAAAATCCAAAGATTCACACTTTTCGCAATCATTTATAATGGTTGATGTCTGTCTGCCCTAATATGAGGGTGTGGATAAAGTGAATGAATTTTACTGAGTAACCTTCCCTGTGACCACCTTTATTGTTTGCCTAGTACTGGTAGGCCTACATACCACGGCTATGACGTTCGAGATCTTGGGTCTGGAAAGAACTTGTTAGGGTAGAGTCGGGTAACTTCGCTACCTTCGTTCACTGACTGTGAAGAATCTCTGTGTGATGCAGTCAATTCGTTTGATACGAACGAAACACACATAGGCCTAATATTGGCCAATCAAAATGCCCTCTCTGCCTTCCTTTTAAATGCTTTGCCTTCGTACTGTAAAGATATCGCATTTTTTATTAGGATAGGTCATGACGGGTAAATTCGCCAGCCTGGAGGTAAATTCGCCTCCCCGATCGGGTAAATTTGCCACCCCTCAATGCCATTTTATCTGTTGTTTTTGTGTTGTTGTTTTTTCATTTTAAAAAATTTTTTTTTTTTTTGGGGGCATGGCGGAAGTCAGTGGGGTTTTAGAAAAATGATTCGCTTTTTTTATTAAGTCAAATAAAAATGGAACAGTTTTTTACGACATAGATACAGGAGATCACAAAATAATATTTTATTTACATCATCATCAGATAGGCTAATTTATCTATTTATCAGCATTATTAATAGTCTTTTCAATCTTCTTCTGCAGTGCTTTCTCCTTCCTCTCTCTCTCTCTTTTCTTTTTTTTTCCTTTCCTTTTTTTCTGCTGCCTCTTGTTTCTCCTGGAGCACTTGTTCAGACGTTAATAGTCTGTGCGATGGAATCGCTCTTGATTTCCGAGTGGTTGTGTTTCCTAGGGACTGGGAAGCAATGCCAAAAATTTCATTCACGGTTTGGTTCCAGTTTGCCTCCGGGAGTTGAGTTGGGTTGGTTTCTGGCTGAGTGTCAGTGACGGTTGGTGATGATTCCTCTGATTCATTGACAATATCATTAATTTGGACATCTTCTCCTTCGACGTTAACTGTGAAGTTGAAGAAATCAAGATTTCCTATTTCATCCATTGATATCGTCAAGACGTCCCCAACATCATCAATAGTTTCCTCTTCCATTTCCATGGGACATGGTGTTGGCGTTGCTGCAGGTTCAGATTTTGTTGATGACGATGATGCTGTTGCAACTGCAGCCCTATACTATAAGCATCTCCTGGCAAGAAAGCCGATTCAGGTATTCTTGTCCTGTCTACAGGGTAGATTCCAGTAGCTTCGAAAGACTTTTGTATCTACTCTGGCTTCAAAGTTGACATCCAGGTTTTGAAAAGAAGGCTTGGCCATGTCACTTTATTGATGGTTTTCCCTGGATTGGCAGTTAAAAACTCTGTGCAGTGGCGTCTGTAGGCTGTCTTAAATGGTTTAAATACCACCCGATCCAGAGGTTGGAGCATATGGGTGGTGTGAGGGGGGAGAGCCAGAACATGGACCAACTGTTCCTTCGCCATCTCGAGAAGTTCCAGGACCTCATGGCTGTGGTGAGAGTCTAGGATCAACAATTGAGGCCTTGAGTCTCCACGGTTGGGGAGGAAAACTTGCTGAAACCATTGCACCCCTATGTCGTCGTTCATCCACCCATTTTTTTGATAGGCCCAAATGGTGCCTTCTGGGCTGTCCTGAATGGCAAAGGAATGGATGGACCTGTTCGTTTTGCCCTTCACGACGCACATAGGGGGCATGGCAGAACCTACGGCGATAACACACACCAAGGTGGTAATGTTGTCTTTGGGTGGACTGCACCTGGTCACTACATTCCGGGCTCGTTTTGCAGCCAGAACCTTTGAAGCATCCGGGCAGAATGTGAGGCCCGTTTCATCGCAGTTCCAGATCTGTGCTGGCTTCTCTTGCCATCCCAACTCAGTTATGGTCTTGTGCAGATCTTCAAAATATCTGGTGTACCACCTCCCTCTTCATCATAGCTAATCTGCTTGATGAGCAGTTCTCCGGAGTGCGAATGGCAATATCAGGTCGCCTTTTCTTTAACTGCAACTAGTAATCCTTTCCAGGAACTCCATTTGTAAAGGGGGTCTTCAGGTGCAGCTTGCTGACAACTGGTCCTACTTTCAGTAAATATTGCTGCTTGGTGATAGGGAATCCAGCAGCCGCAGCAGCGATGACCTTATCTACTATTTCGTTTTCAATGGCTTCGGGGATGCTTCTCTCTCTCCCAGCTCTTCTTTCCAGCTTCGATCCTCCTGAAACATCGGCAAGGGTCTTCCTGGGAATGCCGAATTGACGAGCTGCCCCTGAACAGCTCATCCCATTGGCAACTGCATCAAAGGCTTTAACCAGATCCTCTCTGTCATATTTGCCGTACAAATGTTTTGACTGTGTTGGCATAGTGAACGGGTAGATCTAGACTTTGCAAAATTACTAGAAATAATAATGAAATAATGTTAGTAGTTGATTTCAGAATAATAAACAAATGATTGTTATATTACAACAGTGTTAGGCTAGTAAATATTACAACAATGTCAGTAACAAAAATTTAAGATAATTGTAAGGAACAGTGTTAGTAAAGGTTACAACAATTTTAGTAACAAAAAATTGCAATTTAGGAAATGAGAAACCGAAATGTAATACTGAATACTGTGAAATAATGTTAGTTATTGATTTCACAATAATAAAGAAATGATTGTTAAAGATTACAACAAAGTTACTGACAAAAGATCAAGATAATTGCAACTTTACAATACTGGCGAAGTTACCCGTTGGCCGTAGCGAATTTACCCGACAATTGGTAGCCTTAGTCAAATGTATTTATTTAGTTGAATTGATTGAAATAACAATTAAAGACCTCTACGTAGAGATAATAAAGCATTTAAATAAATGGAATCAATGGAAGAACATAGAAAATATGGATGATAATTAGTAATAAGAATTAAATGCAGAATGAGTAAGCTAAGATGTGTAGGCTCTATGAAGAAGATTCATAGAAAGGGGCGCGAATTGTAGAGCTGACAGCGAAGAGACGCGTATGACATCACGATAGTGACATCAAAACTGTAACAAAGGCTGTGATTAGTTATATATAGATTAAGCCAAGGATCCCTGCTTCTCATTGGCATAAAATGTTTGCCTAATTAGAATAGGGGTGATAGGTTATTCCATTTTATTTAAGAAAGGGTAAACGGGGGTGGCGAAGTTACTCGACTCACGACTGGCGAAGTTACCCGACTCTACCCTATACCAAGGGTTGTTTTTTTTTACTGTATTTTATTATTGGATGAGCAATATTATATGTTCACGGTCTTTAATGACAAAGCTCCAACCAAAGTAATGACCACTTTTGTCTCAGGTTTTCGTGACTGTAGCAGCAGTACTTGATCACTTTGGCTCATGAGATTCTTTTCTTCCTGGAATTACATGAGAGGGGAACAGCTGTGAGAGTGAAATAGTACATTTTGTTGCCTTTGTTCTTCAACTCAACAGAGGTTAGCAGTAGATTAGAACCTGAAACACTTAATTTAGGCTAAAATTCTTGTGCACTACCTTTACCTTACCTTAATTGCAGAGGTATAAATAACTTGCCTTTTACTTTTACTTTACTGTGAGTGTTTTGGTGAGTGTTTTGGATTGATTTATCACTTTTTCTGGGCATGCTATTAGTTTAGTTTGTATCAAATATCATGGCATTATCATGCTGGACTGGGGAGCAGAGAGCAGATGACGCTGGTTCATACCATCAAAGGGGCGTTGTGGACTTGGGTTGTTTTTTGGTGTTTTTTTTAGATTTTCAGGCTTTCCACACATTTGACTCAGTCCTGTCAGTAGTGTCAGAGATGGACGTTAAATTTGAGAGGTCCCACCTCATAGATAACCTTTCAGTATTAAATCTATACAATTTAAAATTTCCATTTTTTCTGGTAGGCCCTACCAGTGTCTGAGGTGTAACAGTTAGTCACTTCACTATCACATACGCAAGAGACCCAAGTTTGGAGAACATTTTTATTGAGTATCTCAGTCTTTCTGCTGGGATTTGTCCTTCTCAGCCCAGGTAAGTCCCGACAGTCGGGATGGGAAGCCTGCCTCCTAAATGATGTAAATTGTGTTGTACGTATTGTCCTATTCTATTTCTGGAAAATATTAATGCCCATTAATATGATACTGACTACCCTTTTAGTTTTACTACAATTTGATTTTAAATGTCCACCCTTGTTCGATTTTTTTTTTTTTTTGTCTATCGCTCACTGGTAAGGTGGTCTTTTCATTTTTGTTGTTCAGCCGTGTAAAAACCATAAGCTTACAGTTTTGCTGCAGTAAAATCTGCTGATGAAGATCCTCAGCACAAAAAGTTTTGGGCAACTTGAAAATCTGAACACAAAAAGTTCAAAAGATATTTATGTTTGATTTATTGATGAGTCATAAAGTCTTTTGATTTGATTCAGTATCATTAGTATGAAAACACTTGTTAGTAAGTCAAAAGGGGAAAGGGGGGGTGGTTTTCAGTCTTAGGTGAGGAACTTCATCTGAATTTCTGTTCATGTTTATGTTTGTATCTCTCTTGTAACACCTCTAATCTTCTGGCGCTCGTATGACCTTATGCAATTGCGAGCGCCGTAAAACCTCTACTAAAACTAACTTTCTGTTCTTGATTTTCTCAATCCCTGTTAAATTTATAGTCACCAGGTAAAGAACTGCACATTTGTAATATATCCGTATTTATACTCTTGGTTGTTTGGGGGTTTTTTTCAGTTCTACTAGTTCATACTTCTCCCTTTGTTGAGAATTGGTCCCTTTAACTTATAGGACTTGTACTTGTAGGTCATCTGCAACATTTACACCTCTGAACAATGAGGCTTCTCCATGTAGGCCTAGCTCTATTTGGTCCGGAGAAGGGTAATGGTAGTGCACACTCATGGGTTTGCTCAGGTTCGTAGCATTAAATTTGGAACAGAAAGTTTACAGTTTAGAGACATACTTTCACAGTAC